AGGAAATTCTTCAGGTTCTTCCTAACCCTAATCCAATTATAGAGTAATCCAGGATGAAAAATAAGAATAAAAAGAAGCAAGCCCAGTAATAGTAATAATAAAAAAAAAGAACAAAGCAAGAGAAGAAAAAAAAAAAGAAGTAGGATCTTCAGGTTCTTCAAACCCTAATCCAATTAGAGAGTCTCAGTTTAAAAAGAAAAGACAAGGAGACCAAAATAATCCAGGAGTATAAATAAAAAAACAAAAATCCCAATACAAAAGAAGAAAAAATAAAAGTAAAAATAAATAAATAGATAAAAAAATATATAAAAATTCTAAGGCTTCCCCTTGAAAATAAAAAGTAAAAATAAAAACATTGCTAAAATAAGAATTTACAATAATGCTAGTGAGGGGGGTAGTGGAATTAAAAAAGGAAATTTAAGAGAGAAAAGCAACACAATGCACTCTGTTTAATTGTCCAAGGCTTTTGTTATGGCTCACTTCCCTTTCCCACAGGCTTCAAAGTCAAGCCATAAATATTTAATTGTTGATAGAAATCCAGAAAAGCACCTGTAATAATACTACGCTTTTCCCTCTATCTTATCACAGAAGTGTCCTTGAGAAGGAGCCTTTCATAATTCTCTCCACTTCAAATAATGCTTCAAGCCTCTAGTTGGCAGTGTTACAAAGTTTCTTAGTTCTCACTTTCCCCGCTCCTCTCACAAAAAAATAGTTAGAGTTAAAAGAAAAGAACAAGAGATATATACATATATATACAAAAAGAGAAATAACCAAAGGGAGCCTCTAGCCTAGAAAAAAGTTTAAAAAAAAGAAGATCCAAGGGAGAATGAAATATATGTGGAAGGAAAAAAAAAAGACCAGTCCAGTTATCTACTAAGTAGCAATAAAGTCCGGTAGCAAATAAAAATAAAAATAAAAGTAAAACCTCGTTTTGACGTCTCCCTTAAAAAAACGCCACCAATTAAGTTTTGTCAAAAATCATACAGATTTCTTCTAGCAGTCAAAGTGTCCTTTCAAACCTCAAAATATTTAGAAAAAAAAAAGCAGTTTCTCACCCAGCCGACACACTTTTCCTTTCAGTCTTTTCCATTCCGGAGCTGCCCCGACTTTAGCAGCATGGGGGCTGCCTCTTCGCCGCCAGCAAAAGGGACTTCTCCTGGGTCATCCAGGGACTTTGCGGTGTCCCTGGGATCCACAGGGTATGCCCCTCACAATAACTGTCCCTACGGGATGGTTTAGGTCCATTTGGACCGGCTAGGGGCGAAGATATCGGCTGCAATCGTGGAGCTCGATTGCAAGCTGTATCGTCTCGGCGCCAGCTCCTCCCATCTCAGTCTGTTATGGTAATAAAGAAAAAAAGGAAATTATTCGAGACTTTTATGGACAACTTTATAAGAAAGAGAATATTGATGAGGGAAAAATTAAACAGTACTTACAGAATGCAAACTTACCTAAAATATCTAAAGAAATTGAAGAAATGTTAGAAAGTAATATAACAATGATGGAATTAAGTCAAGCACTAAAGAAACAAAATAATGGGAAAGCACCAGGTCCAGATGGGCTGCCTGCAGAATTCTATAGAACATTACAAGAATCATTGAGCATTCCACTTTTAGATGTTATGAATGAAGCTATGTTAAAGAAGATGATACCTAAAACATGGTCAGAAGCCTATATTATGCTTATTCCAAAAGATGAGGCTGATCCACTGCAAATTAAGAACTATAGACCAATCTCTTTATTAAATGCAGACTATAAAATTTTTGCTTCGATATTAGCAGAAAGACTTAAAAAATATTTGAATAGTTTTATTCATCCAGATCAAAATGGATTTCTGCCAAAGAGACAAATTAAAGATAATATGAGAGTAATTCTGGACACTTTGGAATACTATGAGGCACATCCTGAAAAGCAATTGGCTTTGATATTTTTAGATGCCCAAAAGGCATTTGACAATGTGAATTGGAGATTTATGTTACTTTTATTGGAACAGATGGGCTTTGCTAGAAGATTTATCCAAGCAATAGAAGCAATTTATCATGAGCAAACTGCAAAGGTTATGATAGAGGAGGAATTTACTGATTCTATTAATATAAGAAAAGGCACAAGACAAGGATGTCCCCTTTCTCCCTTGCTATTTGTATTGACTTTGGAAGTGTTGAATAGAAATATCAGAGAAGATAAAACTATAAAAGGAATGAAAATCAAAAAGGAAGAATTTAAATTACAAGCCTTTGCAGATGACTTAGTCTTTATTTTAGAAGACCCTATAGAAACAGCCTTGAAGCTGCTGGAAAAGATAGAGACATATGGCGAGGTGGCTGGTCTGAAAATAAATAAAGATAAAACAAAGATTTTGTCAAAGAATATGTTACTAAGACAAAGAGAAGAATTGGCAGATTTGCTGAAAATCCAAGTTACAAACAAGGTTAAGTACTTGGGGATATATTTGACATCAAGATGTAGTACATTAAAAGAGAATAATTATATTAAACTTAAACAACAGATAGCCCTAGATTTGAAGAAATGGGAAAACTTACAATTGTCATTAATAGGGAGGATCTCAACAATCAAGATGAATATTTTACCCAGAATCTTATTTTTGTTTCAAACAATACCAATTAGGCTTGGAAAAGACTATTTTGAGGACTTAAATAAAATTATGTTGAAGTATATATGGCAAGGTAAGAAAGCGAGGATAAAGCTAAAGCTTTTGCAAGATGCTAGAACTAGAGGAGGGTTTGGCCTGCCTAATTGGGAGTTGTACTATCAAGCTGCAAATTTGATGTGGGTTAAAGAATGGATAACATTAAGGAAGACTAGATTGTTGACATCAGAAGGTCACGACTTGCTGTTGGGCTGGCATGCTTTTCTATGGTACAAGGGAACTAAAACACAGGGCTATTTTAGAAGACATTATATACGGGAGTCTTTGTGGTTAAACTGGGAGAAGATAAAAAAACAATGTTATTTGAAAATTCCAGTTTGGTTATCGACGATAGAAGCTTTCTCTTATCCTATAATCTATAAAAAGGAACAAACAGTTAGATATGGGGAATTACTAGATGAAAAGGGTGAACTTAAACCGATACAAAAATTAGAGGAACAAGGTATACAGATGAATTGGTTCTCATATGCGCAAATACACTCAAGGTATGATGAAGATTCCAAAACAGAGGGATTTTACAATAAACAGACTGATTTAGATAAGATTTTGACAGGTACTGATGAAAAGATGATTAAAAAACTGTATGGTTACTTATTGGGAATTAAGCTAGAGGAAGAACAAGTTAAAGAAACTATGATTGCTTGGGGGAGGAATTTTGGATATGGGATTGATTTAGAGAAATGGCAGAAATTATGGTCGCAAAATTATAAAATGACAATGTCTACAGCTTATAAAGAAAATTTGTATAAGATGTTTTACAGGTGGCATTTCCCCCCGACAAGGATAGCAAGAATGTTTAAGAACAAATCGGAAAAATGTTGGAAGTGTCATCAGATACCTGGTTCATATTACCATATGTGGTGGACTTGTGAGGATGCTAGAAAATACTGGACTAAAATCCGCATGTGGTTGGAAAAAATGACAAAGAGACATATAGAATTGAAACCGGAGCTTTTCTTATTGGGAATCTTACCAGATGTTTATAGTAAAGATTTGAAATACTTGATTGTAAATGTATTGACTGCGGCTAGGATTGTATTTGCAAAAAATTGGAAAAATGAGAAAATTCCATTGCAGGAGGAAGTTATTAAGAAAATATTGGAATGTGCTGAGATGAGTAAATTGACATTTGAAATTAGAGAGCAAGAAGATAAACAATTTTATACAATTTGGGACCTTTTCTATCAATGGCTGGATGATGAAATACAAAAATAGAATATTTAGAATGTTAGGTAATAAGGAATATTATTGACTTTTCTTCTCCCTTTTCTTTTGCTACTTGACATTACATTTATAAAATGTTTTTTTTTCTTTTTTCTTAAGATAGAATAGGTATGATTATATGATTTGTTATAGAATAAATTACTTAAATCATAGTTATCTCATAAGGCATGATTGAATAAAAGTATAGTCAAATCTTTTTTTTTTCCAATAATGATATGTGGATATATAAGTTTGAATTGATAATAAGAGTTATTATGTAATGTATTTGTAATTGTGACTACGAAATGAATGCACAAAACTGATGAACCAACCGACACACTGTTTGTATATAAGTATCAAAGAGAGCAGATGTTTTTATGTTTTTGTTTGTTTGTTTGTTTGTTAAAAAACCAATAAAATTGTTTTCAAAAAAAAAAAAAAAAAGAAGAGCTGTTATAGATATACTGACAAATCGCCTTCTCTGCCTCCTCCTTCTCCTGTCTTTTGCTTTTTCAGTAACTGATTCTCCATGCTGGGACCGGAGAAATATAGTCAGCCTCGTTGCTGCTACCATTCATACACCATTTAGTTACACATACTGTATGCCTGCTGCAAAGTCATATCTGGTTTTCTAGTATAGGTGCGCACAGCGAAATAAATACTTTCTCAAAACAAGCAGGTAGACCAGTCTCTGTGTCACTGAAGTCTTAGCCATGATGGCATCATGAACAAAAGCATCAGGAAGACATCAGGAACAAAGAATGTGAGATGACTGTTTTCTAGATATTCAACTTTATTGTTTTCTGGAAGTTTTTGACTCTGCTTAGAAATGGTAATATAGATTCCCTCCCCCCAGCCCCATTGTAAACTGAGAACAAGAGGTCTTTATATTTGTCCAGAGATTCTTCACTCCAAGGACAATTTGTCAGCTTAGAACTTCAGGGCCTGTCACTTCTCCTTATTGATTATATTATAACCCTTTTACTCCTGTTATGGGTTATATTGGACTTTCTGAGAAAGCTCCGAAGTGTTTAGAGACACCTGCAAGCAAATTCATTGCCCTGCAAAGGACCACAAGGGTTTGTCAGCACTGCTTTATTCCCCCTGCTGAAATATCTATGATACTTACAAAGCCCCATGAGAAGACCCCGGAAAGCCAATCAACAGAGCAGCCACCAGATAGAGAGCCATCCCCTCCATGGTAGTCCAGAGGGGCAAGAGAAGTGCTGATAACTCCGGTATTTATCCAGAGAGCCTGCTTTGAAGCCAAGCCCCTTTGCAATTGCTGAATGTTTAATCAGTACATGGGGGGGTGGGGGAGGTGAGGAGGAGCTTGAGCAAGCAGACAATTTCCAAGGAAATTAATGAGGCCTTAAAAAACACAGTGGATTATTTGTCTTTGTCTCTTAGTTAAACATGATTGCTAAACAGCAGTTTTGTGCAATTTGTTCTAGATATTCTGCTATTATGCCTGCAAATAGCCCTTTATCTTGAGATCAGGAACTGACAAACTCACTTTGCCTCTCTCCCTCACAGAGATTTGGAAGGGCTTTAAAGTAGACCAAATCTGCCCCTAAACTGAGCACAATAAGGCTATTGAGCATTGTTGTTTCCTCAGGTTTTTTGAGCAGGAAATGCCACTTATCTGGAGGCAACTGCTTTGAGGATTGGTGATATGGGACAGTTATGTTATAGTTACCTCAATGTCTACAACCAGATATAGTAGCTCTCAGTATTCCTATTTTTCTTTTCCCGAGTACTTCCCTTGAAGCTATCTACTGCCATAGCCGAACCTCTAAGCATAATCTTTGAAAAATCTTTCAGGACCAGCTCCTTGCCAAACTTATAGTCTCAAGCCACGGTCATCCCCATCTTCAAAAAGGGAGACCCCAGCCTAGTTGAAAATTACAGACCAATCTCTTTATGCTGCATCACCTGTAAAGTCATGGAATCAATTATTAACCAATCCATTATCCTCCACTTAGAAGCAAACAACCTACTCTCTAATAAACAATTTGGTTTCAGAAAAAAACTATCCTGTAATCTGCAACTCTCACACTACAGAAACATATGGACTACACAATGCGATCAGGACAAAGCAATAGATGCAATCTACATAGACTTCTGTAAAGCCTTTGATTCAGTGGTACATGACAAACTACTCCTAAAACTAAAATCTTATGGTATCTCTGGACACCAGCATTACTGGATAGAAGCATTCCTGTCAAACAGACAACAAATGGTCAAAATTGGGAGCATCCTATCAAATTCTGTACCTGTCAACAGTGGTATCCCACAGGGCAGTGTTCTAGGACCAACTCTCTTCATAAATAACCTCTGCGATCATATTAAGAGCAACTGTGTTCTCTTCACTGATGATGTAAAGCTATTCAACACCACAAACAATACTGCTACCCTTCAAAAAGATCTCGACTATGTATCAGAATGGTCAAACAAATGGCAATTTCAAATTTCAACAAATAAATGCTGTGTTAGTTTTTTATCAGAATCTAATCAAATCTGATTTGTTTAACAAAATGTAAAACATAGGTGTGAACCAAAGCCTGTATTTATATGTAGAAATAATTGCTCCTCTTTTGTAAATAAGGTTGAGTCTTACAAGGTCAGTACATTATTAGCATGGACATTATTATTGTAAATTGTTGTATGTTGCTCAGAGTAGCATGTTTATGAGATGGAAGGCTATATAATTTGGTCTGTAAAAAAATAAGAATAAAATAATTTATATGCTGTATGACTCCCAGTGATTATAGGTGGTTGGGAGCTCAAAGATGTAGTACATAACATTATTAAACTAGAAACTGAAACTTAGATTAAAGAAACTATTCAATAAATGAAATGGGTAAGTCTCTGAAAAGCATAGTGAGGTCTTGAATTTTCCCCAAGAAAACCCCCACGTGGAAATCCATGCCTGCCCCCAACACCAAAAAAACAGGGCTGATTACCAAGGAGTGTCTAAAGAAGCCTTTGCTTAAGCATATTTTATCTTACATGCTGCAGTTCTCAGTAGAATTATGCCCGAGTTATAAAAACAGGCATTCTCTGGCATGATCTTACTATGAGTTTAATTAGAGTGCACACTAGAAGTCAAGTTATTGCCAAAGATACAGACAAATAAGACAATTAAGAAGCATTGTATAAGTTATATTTACAGCTGCACATCAGTAAAGAGTTAATCAGGAAATATAATTCAGGTGGTTTCCAGTAAGAGGTTTTCTTGGCAGGATATATGGACAACAGTGGAGCCTAGACAATCTCCAAAGACAATCAATTGCAGCACATCTACTCTGTTTACACTGGCTTGCTGAAAAGAACGTTTAGGCGTGGAAAGTGTTCTGTGACCACTACGTGTGTTTGTAATTGCAAAGGCAGGTGGGGAGGTGGAAAATGAGAGGTGGTGGGCTCCAAAGTGATTTGAATAGTCAGAAAGAGACACAGCACCCAGCTGAGTCAAGAGACTTTGCTTTCATCCTTCTAAGTTTGTGGCAGTTCTTAATTAGCTTGCTGTCATCATTTGATCAGAAACTGTTCAAATTTGTTAAGACAGCAATAATGTAGCTCTATTAAAGCTGACTGGTGTTCATGTATTTTCATATATTTCCTTCATGTTATAGAAAGCTTTGTAGCTAAAGAGTTGTGGAAAGGGAACTTCATGAGGACAGTGGTGATACCCAAGCAGGAAAAGCCCAAAGGGAACATCAGGCCAGCCATAAAGCAAACTTGCATAGGAAAAGAGATTTGATAAAAGGGAAACAAGAAAAATAAATCCCTTACAAACAAAAGGCCATGCCAAATCAGCAAAACAAATAGACAAAAGACCCATAGAAGACAGGAGATTGCCACTAAACAAATATAAGAAAACATTAGGATGAAACTAATAATCCAATCAAACCACCCCGCAGAGTTTACCCTCTGACGGAAATGACAACCCCCCCTGACAGGATTTAAGCACTCACACACAAAAGGAGAAAAGGTATAAAAATCAGAAGTTTATTACACAAAGCTGGCTAGCCCCAGGAACGCAGACTTCTTGCTATCTCTTGCCTTCCTGAAAATTAAAGGAACCTGCCTTCCAAGTAGCTGCCTGTCTGTGTCCTTACTCTGGAGCACTCCCAGCAGGAAAAAAAGAACCCTTGGAAGAAAGGCATTTTCAAGCCTTTCAACAGAGTAAAACTGATTCTCACAGTAGCATCTGTTGTTCATAGGAGCCAGAGTTTATCTCGCCTATGACCACCTCGGTATTCAATGCAGCGTCAATGTAGACTTGATGCTCGAAGTTAATAGGCCATGTTTATAGAATGTTTGTCCCTAACCAGGTTGCTCCTTGGGATGCATACCAGTTTGGAGATTGGACAGCCAGAACCCAGTAGAGGTGCTTAGTGCCTGTTCTTGTGCTGCTATGATCAGTGCCTCAGTGCTGTCCAGCCCTTTCCAAACATTGATAAGATTTCCCAATGTCAGCATGTCAGCTATCTGCCGATGGTCCATCTCATGCAGAGTCCTGTCTTGCCACAGACCTTTCCCTGCTTGATCTTCCTCCCATGTCTGCTGTTGCATCAAGCATTCTCTCAGCAGCTCATCTTGGTTTTGCCCAGGACAGTGACTTTGACACACACACACACACACACACACACACACGTACAACACACACATTTCTCCTTGATGTTTCCAAGATTTTGCTAATTGAGTAGCAAGACCAATTAAGGCCAACCAATGCCTTAAGGACAACCCAAGAATGATGCCCCTTGCCCTTACCATTGCTTAATTTACAAGACTTAAAACTCAGTAATGACTGAAAGCTAAAATTGAGTGTGGCAATGAAAGAATTAAGGGTATGAGAGTTGGAGGAAAAGACTCTGTGGTGTGCCCCCACTTCCCTTGGTACCTTCTTTTGCTAAAGGTTAATCTAGAGCTATTCAATAGTCACTAATAAAAATATTGACTGTGCCTTCTCAGAATTTTAGTCTTACCAAAATTAATGATGAAATACCTAGACATAATAAATAAATAAATTGTAGCAGCCTTTCAGTATGTATCAGAATAGTTTTCCTTGGTTCTTTTGTATCCATCATAAATCTTTGGAATGGATGTGCTCTGCTACATAGATAAAAGCCACCATTCCTAACTACAATGATTGGAAATGTGTAATGTATCTGTTTTAAAGTACAACGTCCTTCTCTAAGCAGAAAATAACTTTATCTAAAGATAAAGATAATAACTTTATCTAAAGTTTTATGATATTTTACAACAGTATAGTATCAAATTATTGGACCCAATCATTCCTTTCCCAGTATTGAATAATGTCATTACTCTTACAACAAAAACAAAAATAAAAGGAGACACTGACTCACAGAGTTTTGCTATACTTAATCATAACAACATCATAATATTATGAAGTATTTTTGTAAACCAGTGATTTCTACATAATGTTTAATATATGATGTATAAGAGAGCAAGTTTAGTCTGGTAGTTAAGGTGCCAGGGTAAAAACAGGGAGACTAAGAATTCTAGTCCCACCTAGACATAAAGGCAGCTGGTTGACCTTGGGCCAGTCCTTCTTTCATTCAATATGGGAAGAGAGCAAGGGGCAAACCTTTTCCAAAATCTTGCTTAGAAACACATATAAGCAATCACCAAGACTTCACATTGACTTTAGAGCACCAGGAAATAAATACATTTATATGTATGTGTTATCATTCTGAGTAATGAACTCAGGGAAGTCAGGACTCTAGTGCTTTGTTCAGGGTCAACAAAATCTTTATTGAGTACATCGTATCGGCACTTAAAAGGGTGAAGTTAGCTCTAAATTATTCCCACACTTAGGGATAGTTAAAAGAATAAGACCTTTAATTTTCATCATTAAATCTGTCCATTTTGGCACAGTCTAGTATTTTCTTTATTATATTTTCATCTATAGGTATATTTTCATTTTTCCAATTTTGTGCGTACATAATTCTCACGGCCATTATTACATGTAATATTAAATATATTATTCTTTTGTTGTATTTTCCCAGTAGTATACCTAGTAAGAACAATTCTGGTTTTAAATCTATTTGTTGTATTGTCATTTCTTCTAACTACCTTTTTATCTTTATCCAATATTTTTTCACCTTTGGACAAGTCCACCACCTATGGTAATAGGAACCTGGTGTCTGTTTGCATTTCCACACTCTGGCTGTTTTGGAACATCTTTGCCATTCTTGTTGGTGGCAA